TACATTCGGATACTTTTCATAATTTTATTTCATTATCACTTATCAGTATTATAGATAATAGTGAAGATGAAGAATGAACAGTGATTAATAACAATTCAATTATAATCATGAACTAATTTACTTATTATCATTGTTATTATACAGCGTTCTCTAGGTGTTTAACCTATTGATTTCAATAATTAACAACATTGATCATACTCAGACTGATAAACAGAAATAATATAATATAATAGAAATTATAAATATATTATAGGTATATACTATTTTAATGTTTTAATAATGTAATAAAATAATATCATAGAACACCTTATACATTATGTGGATCTAGGACAATCGGTCCCCGGAAAATTGGTCCCCGCGAAAAAATGCGACATGCGGACAATTGGTCCCCGTCATAATTTCATACACGGACAATTGGTCCCCGGCTTAAAAGTTAAACACAAAATAATTTTTTAACATAAAACATTCTCATATAATATAATTCAAATTCTCGTGACACTGAACAAAGTAAAAATAATTAAAAAGTTAAATAAAATTAATAATAAAATTTATTTTATAATTAAATATAATATTTATTTTAATAAAATTTTTTAAAACTGATTTTCAAATAAAAAAATAAAAATGTATATAATACGTTGTGAGAATAAAGCCTTGATAGCGTTCATCGATGTTTTACAGCAAGACTTAAGGAATACAAATAATTCAAAAGTTCATCTTTAGAAAAGTTTATGTTAAAACTGTTACAAATAGATATAATTTTTTTTTCCCTATCACTTAATGGATTTAAAAAAATATTCAAAAATACATTTTCATCGTTTTTTGTCATAGATATCATCGTTGTAGAATTAACTAGTTGTATACATTCAATAAACATATAAATACTTGGATGTTTAAGCCTGACGATATTTTGGAATTTATTTTATTATGGCTGGTTTTAAAATATTCTATTGAGCACTCCATAGGTACGAACTAGACGTATGTATACAAACTAGACGGATGCGTACGAATTAGACTACGGATGTACAGGCGACAAGACGGTGTACACTGTACAGCGATAACTGATGAAGGTAAATCGATCGGTCAGCAATAAAAGATTATTATTTATCAAGGGAAATATTTTATTACAGTTTGCTAAAAATAGTTAGTACCTACTGGAATTTAGTTAGTACTAGTAAGAACAACCTAAGAAAGCCATTTTTCCTGTAAATTCTTATATATACAATATATACACAACAGGAATTTTTCGGGGAGGGGGGGGTCAAAAATATGTATATTGTAATTTTATTTTGTTTCCCCCCTCACATACGGCCTTGGTTAATAATAATAAAAATAAAATATTGAATAACATAAAATATTACCGGGGACCAATTGTCCGCATGCCGCATGTTTTCGCGGGGACCGATTGTCCGTTTACCACATTATGTAATATGGGTCATGGGACAACAAAAAACGCACGATTATTCTGCCACCAGGAAGCGCGTCGTTCGATAAGAGGCCTTTGTGTTATTGTTCTGTGGTTTTACTCATGTGCTATGATCAAATGACAAATACTATATTTTACGTTTATACTAGGTAGTAGGTGGATATTATATTTACCTTGATTTTAAGGTATTTTCCACGATGTAGAGAAGATATTATATAGAGATCTTCTCTATATTGTGCCATAGACCAATAAAGAATCGAAATAAAAATCCCCAGACTACAACCTTTCTCAATTTCTCATAAACACATGCAAATTATTGAACAAATATTTTTTTAAACGCTAGTTACCATCATTATTAATATTTAATAACAATAGGTATTAGGTATATAATTTATACATATACACAAATAATATATTGTTTTTTTACCGCGATGTAATGATATATATAATTCTGTAAAATTAAATCTGTAATATATAATATTATAATAATATATTATAATTATGATAATATTATAATTTACGATATGAGAATTATTAAAAAGTTCAAGTTGTGTCATATGTGTACCTATGATAATCTAAAATATAATATATTTATTTGTATTATATTTGAAGTGTATGGATCATTCGAAATATTTGTATATGTTCTAAAACCGTGAGTAGGTATCAACCTTTATTATTATCGTTTATGCAATTTAACATGGCTACATTTATTAACTGTAGTTTGATAACTATTTTCGTTTTTATTATATAATCTTTTAGGTAGGTAGATTTCTATATAAAACAGTGGAATCTACATAAAGTAAAACTTTGAAAACTCGTTATAAGCTGTTGACAGACATTTTCAATTTTCATTTTTTTTTTCTATAAATGTCAATATAAATTTATTAGTTGCGTCAAAAAGCATGAAAATGTAATTCAAGGATCTTGGTAACTTGTTACAATAGCAGTTGAAAAATATTTAAAAAACATAGCCACAATTTTACTTTATAAGCATTTAAAGTTCAAATTTTGATAATATTTATCAAATTTAAAATGATGTAATAAAAAATGTATAACATTTTTATTTTTTATAGCTAAAAATTGAAAATTTAAAGAAGGTTCCACTTAAGCAGTTTTTCTGTAACTAAAAAATCTAAGAAATTTATAAATACGGTTATTTTTTACAAACATTTTAAGTTAAAATTTGGACAAAATTGCATATTAACACAAAGACTAACGTTTATCATTTAGTTGTAATTCAGTTCTAAAACAGCCCAATTTTACATATGTATACCTAATATTTTTTTTCAGCATCACTGATAAATTAGGAATAATATTAATTCAACTTACTAGCTACCATATCAATAAAAAGTAATAACAGTATAAAATATCCTAGACTGACATACCATCTCTGCTCAGAATCGTTTTTCGTGTACAATGGTCAATTACATGATATCATTGAATTCATATTTGATACCATCCATAGGTCTCTGAATATAAACATTTAACAGTGTAACAACCTTTGTAACTTTAAAAAAACAATTTCAAAATTGTTATAAAGTTCGATATAGTTCCTAAAGTACTTATTAAGCAAATTAATCGTTAAAAGTATAATATTGTTAATATGTAAATCATGTTTGTCATTGTCTCACTGTTATTCTCTTCCCTCAAATAACTTTAATTCCAATTTTAATTACATGTTTAATCGTAGGTACTCCTCATCTCCAACACAAGTGACTAGCATATACATATATAAATTCCTTTTTAACTGTAGAATGTAGATAGCCAATGTTTATTTTGTTCACAATAAACAATAATGAAATATACTCTTATGAATGAACAATTAAATTTATAGGACATGCCAAAATATGATAAGTAATTTGTTATGCTTCATAATTGGTTTACTCATTAACTTACTTCATTAAATACAAAAATTTACACTTATTATTAAAAATATATTATATTATTTATTATCAATGTAAAAAAAATACAAATTGGTTTGATTATTGATTATGTTTTAAAATAAAAATATAAATAAGTAGACAATTTACCTGAAGCAAAAAATAATTTGACATTATAATTACAACTATATTATAGTGTGACTTGGCGGTAAGTACCACCATGAACATCATTGAAGTAATTGATAAGAGTATTAATAATATTCATCTGAACATCAGAATTACTACCAAACCTTCCTAAAAGATCTGCTAGTTGTAGACTTTGATTTTCTGTTTGATTCAGTACAACAGAAACTGTATTTTGAATTGTTCTAATCAGTAAATTAAACAGGTCCAGAAGATGATCTGTACTTAACTCTCGTAACATATTTCCTACATTTCTAATTCTGGGCAGCAACATATTGTTAATCTGGTATCCAATACTTCCTCCTGAAATAATATATATTGATAAAACAATATACAGAGTAATTGACCAAACATGCTCACTTCAATTTTTAATTTAATATTTTATTT